GTGAGTGTGTAGGTGAGTGTTTAGGTGAGTAGGTGAGTGAGTAGGTGAGTGTATAGGTGAGTGAGTAGGTGAGTGTATAGGTGAGTGTTTAGGTGAGTAGGTGAGTGTATAGGTGAGTGTATAGGTGAGTGTTTAGGTGAGTAGGTGAGTGTATAGGTGAGTGTTTAGGTGAGTGAGTAGGTGAGTGTATAGGTGAGTGTGTAGGTGAGTAGGTGAGTGTTTAGGTGAGTAGGTGAGTGTATAGGTGAGTGTATAGGTGAGTAGGTGAGTGAGTAGGTGAGTGAGTAGGTGAGTGTATAGGTGAGTGTATAGGTGAGTAGGTGAGTGTGTAGGTGAGTGTTTAGGTGAGTAGGTGAGTGTTTAGGTGAGTAGGTGAGTGTATAGGTGAGTAGGTGAGTGTATAGGTGAGTGTTTAGGTGAGTAGGTGGGTGTATAGGTGAGTGTATAGGTGAGTGTTTAGGTGAGTAGGTGAGTGTATAGGTGAGTGTTTAGGTGAGTGAGTAGGTGAGTAGGTGAGTGTATAGGTGAGTGTGTAGGTGAGTAGGTGAGTGTTTAGGTGAGTAGGTGAGTGTATAGGTGAGTGTATAGGTGAGTAGGTGAGTGAGTAGGTGAGTGTATAGGTGAGTAGGTGAGTAGGTGAGTGAGTAGGTGAGTGTATAGGTGAGTGTTTAGGTGAGTAGGTGAGTGTATAGGTGAGTGTATAGGTGAGTAGGTGAGTGTGTAGGTGAGTGAGTAGGTGAGTGTCTAGGTGAGTAGGTGAGTGTTTAGGTGAGTAGGTGAGTGTGTAGGTGAGTGTTTAGGTGAGTAGGTGAGTGTATAGGTGAGTGTATAGGTGAGTGTTTAGGTGAGTAGGTGAGTAGGTGAGTGTATAGGTGAGTGTGTAGGTGAGTAGGTGAGTGAGTAGGTGAGTGTGTAGGTGAGTAGTTGAGTGTTTAGGTGAGTAGGTGAGTGTATAGGTGAGTGTATAGGTGAGTGTATAGGTGAGTGTATAGGTGAGTGTATAGGTGAGTGTGTAGGTGAGTAGGTGAGTGAGTAGGTGAGTGTGTAGGTGAGTAGTTGAGTGTTTAGGTGAGTAGGTGAGTGTATAGGTGAGTGTATAGGTGAGTGTATAGGTGAGTAGGTGAGTGTATAGGTGAGTGTGTAGGTGAGTAGGTGAGTGTATAGGTGAGTAGGTGAGTGTATAGGTGAGTGAGTAGGTGAGTAGGTGAGTGTTTAGGTGAGTAGGTGAGTGTATAGGTGAGTAGGTGAGTAGGTGAGTGTTTAGGTGAGTGAGTAGGTGAGTGTTTAGGTGAGTAGGTGAGTGTTTAGGTGAGTGTATAGGTGAGTGTTTAGGTGAGTAGGTGAGTGTTTAGGTGAGTGTACAGGTGAGTGTTTAGGTGAGTAGGTGAGTGTATAGGTGATTGTTTAGGTGAGTAGGTGAGTGTGTAGGTGAGTAGGTGAGTGAGTAGGTGAGTGTATAGGTGAGTAGGTGAGTGTTTAGGTGAGTAGGTGAGTAGGTGAGTGTTTAGGTGAGTGTGTAGATGAGTGTATAGGTGAGTGAGTAGGTGAGTAGGTGTGTGTATAGGTGAGTGAGTAGGTGAGTAGGTGAGTGTATAGGTGAGTAGGTGAGTGTATAGGTGAGTGTATAGGTGAGTGAGTAGGTGAGTAGGTGAGTGTATAGGTGAGTAGGTGAGTGAGTAGGTGAGTGAGTAGGTAAGTGTAGAGGTGAGTGTATAGGTGAGTAGGTGAGTGAGTAGGTGAGTAGGTGAGTAGGTGAGTGTTTAGGTGAGTAGGTGAGTGTTTAGGTGAGTGAGTAGGTGAGTGAGTAGGTGAGTGTATAGGTGAGTGTATAGGTGAGTGAGTAGGTGAGTAGGTGAGTGTTTAGGTGAGTAGGTGAGTGAGTAGGTGAGTGTATAGGTGAGTGAGTAGGTGAGTAGGTGAGTGTATAGGTGAGTGTTTAGGTGAGTAGGTGAGTGAGTAGGTGAGTAGGTGAGTGTTTAGGTGAGTGAGTAGGTGAGTGTATAGGTGAGTGTATAGGTGAGTGTATAGGTGAGTGTATAGGTGAGTGTATAGGTGAGTGTTTAGGTGAGTGTTTAGGTGAGTGTGTAGGTGAGTAGGTGAGTGTTTAGGTGAGTGTATAGGTGAGTGTATAGGTGAGTGTATAGGTGAGTGTATAGGTGAGTGTGTAGGTGAGTAGGTGAGTGTTTAGGTAAGTAGGTGAGTGAGTAGGTGAGTAGGTGAGTGTTTAGGTGAGTGAGTAGGTGAGTGTATAGGTGAGTGTATAGGTGAGTGTATAGGTGAGTGTATAGGTGAGTGTATAGGTGAGTGTTTAGGTGAGTGTTTAGGTGAGTGTGTAAGTGAGTAGGTGAGTGTTTAGGTGAGTGTATAGGTGAGTGTATAGGTGAGTGTATAGGTGAGTGTATAGGTGAGTAGGTGAGTGAGTAGGTGAGTGAGTAGGTGAGTGAGTAGGTGAGTGTTTAGGTGAGTAGGTGAGTGTATAGGTGAGTGTATAGGTGAGTGTTTAGGTGAGTAGGTGAGTGTATAGGTGAGTGTATAGGTGAGTGTTTAGGTGAGTAGGTGAGTGAGTAGGTGAGTGAGTAGGTGAGTAGGTGAGTGTTTAGGTGAGTAGGTGAGTGAGTAGGTGAGTGTATAGGTGAGTGTTTAGGTGAGTAGGTGAGTGTATAGGTGAGTGTATAGGTGAGTGTTTAGGTGAGTAGGTGAGTGTATAGGTGAGTGTATAGGTGAGTGTATAGGTGAGTAGGTGAGTGAGTAGGTGAGTGAGTAGGTGAGTGAGTAGGTGAGTGTTTAGGTGAGTAGGTGAGTGTATAGGTGAGTGTATAGGTGAGTGTTTAGGTGAGTAGGTGAGTGAGTAGGTGAGTGTTTAGGTGAGTAGGTGAGTGTATAGGTGAGTGTATAGGTGAGTGTATAGGTGAGTAGGTGAGTGTATAGGTGAGTGTTTAGGTGAGTAGGTGAGTGTTTAGGTGAGTAGGTGAGTGAGTAGGTGAGTGAGTAGGTGAGTAGGTGAGTGAGTAGGTGAGTAGGTGAGTGAGTAGGTGAGTGTATAGGTGAGTGTATAGGTGAGTGTATAGGTGAGTGTGTAGGTGAGTGTTTAGGTGAGTGTATAGGTGAGTGTTTAGGTGAGTAGGTGAGTGAGTAGGTGAGTGTGGAGGTGAGTAGGTGAGTGTTTAGGTGAGTAGGTGAGTGAGTAGGTGAGTGTGTAGGTGAGTGTGTAGGTGAGTGTGTAGGTGAGTGTATAGGTGAGTGTTTAGGTGAGTAGGTGAGTGTATAGGTGAGTGTATAGGTGAGTGTGTAGGTGAGTAGGTGAGTGAGTAGGTGAGTGTATAGGTGAGTGTGTAGGTGAGTAGGTGAGTGTATAGGTGAGTGTGTAGGTGAGTGTTTAGGTGAGTAGGTGAGTGTTTAGGTGAGTAGGTGAGTGAGTAGGTGAGTAGGTGAGTGAGTAGGTGAGTAGGTGAGTGAGTAGGTGAGTGTATAGGTGAGTGTGTAGGTGAGTAGGTGAGTGTATAGGTGAGTGTGTAGGTGAGTGTTTAGGTGAGTAGGTGAGTGTATAGGTGAGTAGGTGAGTGTATAGGTGAGTGTTTAGGTGAGTGTATAGGTGAGTGTGTAGGTGAGTAGGTGAGTGTATAGGTGAGTAGGTGAGTGAGTAGGTGAGTAGGTGAGTGAGTAGGTGAGTGTATAGGTGAGTGTTTAGGTGAGTGTTTAGGTGAGTAGGTGAGTGAGTAGGTGAGTGTATAGGTGAGTGTATAGGTGAGTGTGTAGGTGAGTAGGTGAGTGTATAGGTGAGTGTATAGGTGAGTAGGTGAGTGTATAGGTGAGTGTATAGGTGAGTGTGTAGGTGAGTAGGTGAGTGAGTAGGTGAGTGTATAGGTGAGTGTTTAGGTGAGTAGGTGAGTGAGTAGGTGAGTGTATAGGTGAGTGTATAGGTGAGTGTGTAGGTGAGTAGGTGAGTGTATAGGTGAGTGTTTAGGTGAGTAGGTGAGTGAGTAGGTGAGTGTATAGGTGAGTGTATAGGTGAGTGTATAGGTGAGTGTATAGGTGAGTGTATAGGTGAGTGTATAGGTGAGTGTATAGGTGAGTAGGTGAGTGAGTAGGTGAGTAGGTGAGTGAGTAGGTGAGTGTATAGGTGAGTGTTTAGGTGAGTGTTTAGGTGAGTAGGTGAGTGAGTAGGTGAGTGTATAGGTGAGTGTATAGGTGAGTGTGTAGGTGAGTAGGTGAGTGTATAGGTGAGTGTATAGGTGAGTAGGTGAGTGTATAGGTGAGTGTATAGGTGAGTGTGTAGGTGAGTAGGTGAGTGAGTAGGTGAGTGTATAGGTGAGTGTTTAGGTCAGTAGGTGAGTGAGTAGGTGAGTGTATAGGTGAGTGTATAGGTGAGTGTGTAGGTGAGTAGGTGAGTGTATAGGTGAGTGTTTAGGTGAGTAGGTGAGTGAGTAGGTGAGTGTATAGGTGAGTGTATAGGTGAGTGTATAGGTGAGTGAGTAGGTGAGTAGGTGAGTGTTTAGGTGAGTGTGTAGGTGAGTAGGTGAGTGTGTAGGTGAGTGTATAGGTGAGTGAGTAGGTGAGTAGGTGAGTGTATAGGTGAGTGTTTAGGTGAGTAGGTGAGTGTATAGGTGAGTAGGTGAGTGAGTAGGTGAGTGAGTAGGTGAGTGTATAGGTGAGTGAGTAGATGAGTAGGTGAGTGTGTAGGTGAGTAGGTGAGTGTGTAGGTGAGTGTATAGGTGAGTGTTTAGGTGAGTAGGTGAGTGAGTAGGTGAGTGTATAGGTGAGTGTATAGGTGAGTGTATAGGTGAGTGTATAGGTGAGTGTATAGGTGAGTAGGTGAGTGTATAGGTGAGTGTATAGGTGAGTGTTTAGGTGAGTAGGTGAGTGTATAGGTGAGTGTTTAGGTGAGTAGGTGAGTGTTTAGGTGAGTAGGTGAGTGTTTAGGTGAGTAGGTGAGTAGGTGAGTGAGTAGGTGAGTGTATAGGTGAGTAGGTGAGTGTTTAGGTGAGTAGGTGAGTGAGTACCCGAGTCTTCATACGCAGGCGTTCGCTGGCTGTGAGCGAGTCGGCTTTAGCGATGACCGGCACGATGTTGACCTTGGAGCTGAGAGCTCGCATGAACTCCACATCGAGCGGCTTCAACCTGAACATCATCACCATCAACATCATCACCAGCATCATCATCAACATCATCACCACCATCATCACCAGCATCATCAACAACATCATCAACATCACCACCATCATCATCATCAACATCATCAGCATCATCATCATCATCACCATCATCATCAACACCATCATCAACATCATCACCATGACGCATGAACTCCACATCGAGCGGCTTCAACCTGAACATCACCACCATCAACATCATCACCAGCATCATCATCAACAACATCAACACCATCATCATCACCATCACCACCATCACCATCACCACCAACATCTCCATGACGCATGAACTCCACATCGAGCGGCTTCAACCTGAACATCATCACCATCAACATCATCATCACCACCATCATCACCATCAACATCACCATCAACATCATCACCAGCATCACCACCATCATCAACATCACCACCATCATCATCATCACCAGCATCATCATCAACATCACCATCACCACCATCAACAACATCACCACCATCAACATCACCACCATCAACAACATCACCACCATCAACAACATCACCACCATCACCACCATCAACATCACCACCATCAACATCACCACCATCAACATCACCACCATCACCATCACCACCATCATCATCATCACCAGCATCATCACCATCATCATCATCACCACCATCATCACCATCATCACCATCATCATCATCATCACCACCACCACCATCAACATCATCAACATCACCACCATCATCATCATCACCACCATCATCATCATCACCACCATCAACATCACCACCACCATCAACAGCACCACCATCACCACCACCATCATCATCACCGCCATCACCATCATCATCACCATCACCACCATCAACACTAACATCACCACCACCACCATCATCATCATCACCACCATCATCACCATCATCACCATCACCATCATCACCATCATCATCAGCACCACCACCATCAACATCATCACCACCATCACCATCATCATCATCACCACCATCAACATCACCACCACCATCAACAGCACCACCATCACCACCATCACCACCACCATCATCATCACCGCCATCACCATCATCATCACCATCACCACCATCAACACCAACATCACCACCACCACCATCATCATCATCACCACCATCATCAACATCATCACCATCATCATCATCACCACCACCGTCAACAACATCGCCACCTTCACCATCATCATCATCACCACCATCACCATCATCATCATCACCACCATCAACATCACCACCACCATCAACAGCACCACCATCACCACCACCATCATCATCACCGCCATCACCATCATCTTCACCATCACCACCATCAACACCAACATCACCACCACCACCATCATCATCATCACCACCATCATCACCATCATCACCATCATCATCATCACCACCACCATCAACATCATCACCACCATCACCATCATCATCACCACCATCACCATCATCACCACCATCAACATCACCACCACCATCAACAGCACCACCATCACCACCATCACCACCACCATCATCATCACCACCATCATCATCACCATCACCACCATCAACACCAACATCACCACCACCACCACCATCATCATCATCACTACCATCATCACCATCATCATCATCACCACCACCATCAACATCATCACCACCATCACCATCATCATCATCACCACCATCACCATCATCACCACCATCAACATCACCACCACCATCAACAGCACCACCATCACCACCATCACCACCACCATCATCATCATCACCATCACCACCATCAACACCAACATCACCACCACCACCATCATCATCACCACCATCATCACCATCATCATCATCACCACCACCATCAAGATCATCACCACCATCATCATCATCACCACCATCACCATCATCACCACCATCAACATCACCACCACCATCAACAGCACCACCATCACCACCATCACCACCACCATCATCATCACCGCCATCACCATCATCATCACCATCACCACCATCAACACCAACATCACCACCACCACCATCATCATCATCACCACCATCATCACCATCATCACCATCATCATCACCACCACCATCAACATCAGAGTGAGTGAGCAGGTGGGTAAGCATGTGGGTGAGTGAGTGAGTGATTGAGCGAGTGGGTGAGCGAGTGAGTGGGTGAATGAGTGAGTGAGTGAGCGAGTGAGTGAGCGAGTGAGTGGGTGAGTAGGTGAGTGGGTGAGTGAGTGGGTGAGTAGGTGAGTGAGCGAGTGGGTGAGTGAGTGGGTGAGCGAGTGGGTGAGTGAGTGGGTGAGTGAGTGGGTGAGTGAGTGGGTGAGTGACCCGTGTCCGAAGGGCGAGATGAAGTAGAAGCAGCAGTGAACTCGGTAGTCCAGGATGTGTCTGGGGTTCAGGCCACTCTCATCGTGGAGATATCTCTCGTACTGAGAGTAGGTGAGTAGGTAGGTGAGTGGGTGAGTAGGTAGGTGAGTAGGTGAGTGGGTGAGCGAGTGGGTGAGTGAACGAGTGAGTGGGTGAGTGAGTGAGTGTGTGAGTAGGTGAGTAGGTGAGTGAGTGGGTGAGTGGGTTAGTGAACGAGTGAGTGGGTGAGTGAGCGAGTGAGTAGGTGAGTGAGCGAGTGAGTAGGTAGGCGAGTAGGTGAGTAGGTGAGTAGGTGAGTAGGTGAGTGAGTGAGTGGGTGAGTGAGTGAGTGAGTGGGTGAGTAGGTGAGTGAGTGGGTGAGTGAGTGGGTGAGCGAGTGGGTGAGTGACCCGTGTCCGAAGGGCGAGATGAAGTAGAAGCAGCAGTGAACTCGGTAGTCCAGGATGTGTCTGGGGTTCAGGCCACTCTCATCGTGGAGATATCTCTCGTACTGAGAGTAGGTGAGTAGGTAGGTGAGTGGGTGAGTAGGTAGGTGAGTAGGTGAGTGGGTGAGCGAGTGGGTGAGTGAACGAGTGAGTGGGTGAGTGAGTGAGTGTGTGAGTAGGTGAGTAGGTGAGTGAGTGGGTGAGTGGGTTAGTGAACGAGTGAGTGGGTGAGTGAGCGAGTGAGTAGGTGAGTGAGCGAGTGAGTAGGTAGGCGAGTAGGTGAGTGAGTGGGTGAGTAGGTAGGCGAGTAGGTGAGTGGGTGAGCGAGTGGGTTAGTGAACGAGTGAGTGGGTGAGTGAGCAAGTGAGTAGGTGAGTGAGTAGGTGAGTAGGTAGGTCAGTAGGTGAGTAGGTGAGTGGGTGAGTAGGTGAGTGAGTGGGTGAGTGAGTGGGTGAGTGAGGGGTGAGTAGGTAGGTGAGTGGGTGAGTGAGTGAGTAGGTGAGTAGGTAGGCGAGTAGGTGAGTAGGTGAGTAGGTGAGTGAGTGAGTGGGTGAGTGAGTGAGTGAGTGGGTGAGTAGGTGAGTGAGTGGGTGAGCGAGTGGGTGAGTGACCCGTGTCCGAAGGGCGAGATGAAGTAGAAGCAGCAGTGAACTCGGTAGTCCAGGATGTGTCTGCGGTTCAGGCCACTCTCATCGTGGAGATATCTCTCGTACTGAGAGTAGGTGAGTAGGTAGGTGAGTAGGTGAGTGGGTGAGTGAGTGGGTGAGTAGGTGAGTAGGTGAGTGAGTGGGTGAGTGAGTGAGTGAGTAGGTGAGCGAGTGGGTGAGCGAGTGGGTGAGTGAGGGGTGAGTAGGTAGGTGAGTGGGTGAGTGAGTAAGTAGGTGAGTAGGTGAGCGAGTGGGTGAGCGAGTGGGTGAGTGACCCGTGTCCGAAGGGCGAGATGAAGTAGAAGCAGCAGTGAACTCGGTAGTCCAGGATGTGTCTGCGGTTCAGGCCACTCTCATCGTGGAGATATCTCTCGTACTGAGAGTAGGTGAGTAGGTAGGTGAGTAGGTGAGTGGGTGAGTGAGTGGGTGAGTAGGTGAGTAGGTGAGTGAGTGGGTGAGTGAGTGAGTGAGTAGGTGAGCGAGTGGGTGAGCGAGTGGGTGAGTGAGGGGTGAGTAGGTAGGTGAGTGGGTGAGTGAGTAAGTAGGTGAGTAGGTGAGCGAGTGGGTGAGCGAGTGGGTGAGTGACCCGTGTCCGAAGGGCGAGATGAAGTAGAAGCAGCAGTGAACTCGGTAGTCCAGGATGTGTCTGCGGTTCAGGCCACTCTCATCGTGGAGATATCTCTCGTACTGAGAGTCAATGTACTGCAGGATGGGGC